TTGGTCCATGTACAGGTTCCTCATGAGCACAATCAAGTGTTCCGGAATACTCATACTTCACAATGTCGTCCACACAATCGAAAGCCTTTATACAGTCAACAAAGCACAGGTATTCTCTAATTTCAGCCAAGATCCATCAGACATCAGCAGTGATATCTCCTCATTCCACATCCTCTTCTGAATGCAGCTTGAACCTCTAGAAGTTCTCTGTCAGTGTATGGCTGCAGCCATTTTGGGATGATTTCCACCTTCCTCTCTTTGTAATAGGCACAAATACAGATCTCTTTCAGTTAGTTGACAACGTAGTTGTCTTCCAAATTTCTTGGCATCAATGAGCGCCTCCCGTGCTGCCTCACTTTGTTGAAAGATTTCAATTTGTATTTCACCAATTCCAGGTGCCTTGTTCTTTGCCAAGGACTTCAATACACCTTGGATTTCTTCCTTCTGAATTATTGGTTCATGATCATATGCTACTTCTTCAAATGGTTGCACATGAAACCATTTCTTTCTGGTACAGTGACTCTGTGTATTCCTTCCATCTTCCTTTGCATTATTCAGTATTTTGCCCATAGAATCCTTCACTACCACAAGTTGAGATTTGAACGCTTTTTTCATTTCCCTCAGCTTAAGAAATGCTGAGCATGTTCTTCCTTTTTGGTTTTCTAACTCTAGGTCTTTGCACATTTCATGATAATATTTGACATTTGTCTTCTCGAGCTGACCTTTAAAATTCTCTTTTAGCTCTTTTACCTCCTCACATCTTCCATTTGCTTTAGCATCTCTACACTGGAGAATAAGTTTCAGAGTCTCTTCTGACATCCACTTGGTTTTTTTCTTTCATTATTATTTTCTTAATGACCTTTTGCTTTCTTCCTTTGTGATGTTCTTGAAGTCATCCCACAACTCTTCTGGTCTTCAGTTTTTAGCGACTAATGCATCAAATCTGTTCTTCAGAAGATCTCTAAATTCAGAGAGGATATATTCAAGGTAATGTTTTGACTCTTATGGACCTGTTTTTTCTTCAGCTTCAGCCTTAAGTTGCATATGAGACTGTTTCACAGTCTGCCCCTGGATTTGTTTTGGCTGATGATAAGGAGCTTTTCCACTGTTTCTTTCCACAGATGTCATCAATTTGATTGTATCCCATCTGTTGAGGTCCACGTGTGTAGTTGTCTTTTATGTTGTTTAAAAAAGGGATTTGCAATGAACAAGTCATCGGTCTTGCAGAATTCTATCATGCGATCTCTAGCATTGCTTCTAACACCAATGCCATATTTTCCAATCACCAATAATTATCAATACATCTTGATTGAATGTTGGTTCAATTTCAGACTGAAGACGTTGGTAGAATGCTTCAATTTCATCGTCACTGGGTTTAGTGGTTGGTGCATAAATTTGAATAATAGTGCTATTTACTGGTTTTCCTTGTATGTGTATGGATATTATCGCATCACAGATAGCGTTGTATTTCATGACTGATCTTGATATGTTCTTTTTGATGGTGAATGCGACTCCATTCCTCTTCAATTTGCCCATTCAATAATCTGCTACTGACAGCGTTCCACTGTTATTCATACAGTTTTCAGTGACTAAATATTCGGAAGTAGTCTGTCTCTCCTTCGTCCTAGTCTGTCTTCATCTGGAAGCTCATCTGAAACCTGTCCACCATGGGTGACCCTGCTGGTATTTAAAATACCCATGGCATAGCTTCCAGAATCACAGCAACGCACAAGCCACCACAATACAACAAATGGATAGATGAGTGGTCTAACCATAGTACTGAAAAATCTCCATATCTTATCCCTAATGCAGCACCAGCAATAAGTCTTGGTAGTGCACTGGGTTAAGCATGGGACTGCTGACTGAAGAGTCAGTGGTTTGAACCCACTGACTACTCTGAGGAGAAACATGGGGTGGTCCTATTCCCATAAAGATTTGTAGAGTTGAAAATCTTTGAGGGCATTTCTATTGTATCCTATAGGGTCACCAGAAGTTAGAATAAAATCAACATCAAAGGTCTTCAATGTTAATTACCATCATGTATGTTTCTAAATCACCAGGTACAACGGTAAAGGGACTTTCACAGTGGGGTTGATCCAGACTTACCTACAAGTCACTGTTTATATCACTCACAGTGGAAGAGCTGGGACTCATATTTCCTGTCACAGAGAACTCAGAGCACCAGCCATGATGTCCTCCTGTCACAGAGAACTCAGAGCACCAGCCATGATGTCCTCCTGTCACAGAGAACTCAGAGCACCAGCCATGGTGTCCTCCTGCCATGGAGAACTCAGAGCACCAGCCATGGTGTCCTCCTGCCATGGAGAACTC